TATATTTATATATATATATATATATATATATATTTATATATATATATATATATATATATATATATATATATATATATATATATATATATAGGTATATATATATATATATATATAATATATATATATATATATATATATAATATATATATATATATATATATATATAATATATATATATATATATATATATATATATAAATATAAATATATAATATATATATATATATAAATATATATATATATATATATATATATATATATATATATATATATATAATATATATATATATATACCAAAGTTACTATGTTCTAGAACATTCCAACCTCTAATTCGCCTATGTGACTGATTGTTCTCTCTCGCACTCGATACATCGCAAAGCTTCTCGGCGCCTTTTCAAAATGCAATCATTACATAGGCCATGCCGAAAGCATGTTCGGAACAGTATTAAAAAGGAATAGTAAATCAACGTTGTTATAATATAGAGAAAGATAAATTGCTCATTGATTTCCTAGCTTAGCATTCAGTAGCGTATCGTTTACACTGTTGCAGTGAATTTTAAAAATTAATCTTAATATAATATGATACGAGACTTATATTTAACTTTTGAAGGGAATACTTCTTATCACAAAAAAAAAACACTACTTTCAAATACCATAATTTTGTACAAAACATACGAGACAAAGAAACTTTCTATGACATTTAATGACAAACTATAACTTTTTTTAATGAAATTTTTTGTTTGTTACAAAAATTAATTATCAGAAAGGCAGGTAGAGAGATTTATCCTGCTGTTATTTCAATGAAAGGTTTCTTTTCATTGGAATTACTTATATTCTAAATATACTAATTTACATAATTAGGAAAATCCAATTCTGAAATTGAAAATTACATGAAATTAACTTTTAATTTTAGTGAACATACTCACACACACAGACACACACACACGTATATATATATATATATATATATATATATATATATATATATATATATTTTAATTAAATAAAATAAATCAACAAAATAAACTTGATAAAATGGTTCGACCTCCACAGGAAGTCAAAATATTAATCATCGTATGAAGACGACTCGTCGGATGATGAAGAGCTATCGCGATCACTATTATTTACATTGATAATTAATGGTTCAACCGAAATGTCCATTCTTGTGTCTAAGTTCCACATTCTATCTTCTTCTTTTATAGTGTGTCTTATACAATTTTTCCAAGACTCAGGTGTGACATTTTGTATGGCAGTAGCTAACAAGCATTTCACCTCCTCCATTTTAAAACTCAAGTGTTCTCTTGCCACTTGGTTTTTTATTTGAGCCCATATAAGCTCGATAGGGTTCAGCTCACAATGATAAGGGAGGGACGCGATCTACAATTATGTTGTTTGCACTAGCCAGTTTATCGACTGCATATTTCTTAAAAACGGGTATATGTATCCTCGCGAGGTTTAATAATTGTACTTTCAACATGTCATCGAATGGTATATGTTTTTGAGAGAGCCAGTTGATTATTTCACCTTTTCGCCAGGCAGTCGTTGGTGATGACTCCAACCATCGACTGTGGTATGACGCATTGTCCATAACAACGACAGAATTTGCTTCAAGGTTTGGTAGAATATTTGAAAACCAACCTTCGAATCTTTGAGCGTCCATTTCCTTATGGTAATCGTTGGTTTTCTTGGATTCGAATAGTAACAAGCCGTTGTCCAAAAAACCCGAATCGCTGCCTATATGTGTTATTATGAGCCTCCGTCCTTTACCCACTGGTGTTTTTAAACTTAATGAAAGCTCTTCAATGAAGACTTGTCGACTGTTAATTTTCAAATCTTGCCACACCTTTGAGACAATATGACCTTGATTTAGCCAAGTTTCATCTAAATAGTATACTTTTCGTCCTTTACGACGATACTCTCGGATTTTTGTAAGTAATTTCTTCGCCACAAAACAATTTCATCTTTTTCTAAAAGATCCTGCTCAACACTATTCCTGCTTCTTTTTATATATTTAATGTTCATTTGTGCTAATGTTCGCAATAAAACACGTAGTGATATATTGGGTCTTGAATTATCGGAATTTATTTCAACTTTAACTTTCTATAAGGTTGGGATTTCGTTCCGAAAAAAGAAAGCATGGAATTTCCTCCGAACAGCATATTTGGTATGATCTTCAAGCTGGATGCGTTTTCTACTTCTGGTTTCAATGGTTTCAACAGGTCTATCATCCAATTTGCCTTCACTTTGTTTAAAATTGTTTACAATGTTGACCAACATACTTTTATTCCTTTCACAGAGTCCACAATACACATTAAATATAATAGTTTTTTCTCCCATCAAAAAATTTGGACGTCGTTTACTTTTACTGCTTTCACTTTTCATATTACTCACAACACTAAAATAAGTGTTCACTGTTTAGATAATCTAATCGATATGTAAGACATGTGCTGCGGTGGGGCCACGATGAATACAATACTATTTTGCTGACGTCACGTTGCAATGCAACGACGAATAGAATCGACGGCTGCTAGGCAACGTGACGTCAGCAAAATAGTTATCTATTCATGGCCATCCTACCACTGTTTACTTCTATAGCAAAACAACTGAATCCCTGAGTAGCCGACATTCACCGAATATCGCGGTTTTAGGGAGGTATAACTATTACCTTCTAACCTAAAATTATTATTTATTGTTATTAACTCAAATTTATAAAACAATAATAGAAAGTATTGGGTTGTACGGCGTTGTAGTATATCTTTTCTAAGTAAAAATATTAAGAGAATAAAAGTTTTGATTCTAAAAGTATGTCGAGTGGGAAATAAAATAATTGAACGTATTAAAGGAGCACTGAAAGACGTATGTGGCGTCCTCCATCATTTTTAGTGGCGAATTTAGATTTCTCGTCCCAAAAAACTCCAGCTACCAAATTTCGTGTTGTTATTCCATGCCTGTCACGAAATAATCAGAAATAAAAGTTTAACTTTGACACCCTTTATTTTGGTTATTTTTCGTACTAAAGTAAGTTAGTTTAAAATGGGCCTATTTTAATCTCAAGAATCTAAGATTAAGTTATGGCCATTCGTTACCAAACACCATGAATATGGTGTTACTGGATATTAGTGACTGTCGATATAAACAAACAACACAGTTTATTAGGGTTGCAGTCAGAATATTGGCCGGGATGTTAAAAAAAACACTCTTTTGACTTTTTGTCGAGCTTTCGGAATATACAATTGTATACAATTGTATATTTTAATGTGTGGTATAAATGTTGAGTGTCAATGCTTACAAAAATAATCTCAACGACTAGTAAGTTACACTGAAGAATTGTGATATTTTTTAAATATTTACTTAATTGTCTTTTACAGTGTCTTAAAGGAATAAAACCATTCCGAAAGCTCGACAAAAAGTCAAAAGTGTTTTTTTTAACATCTCGGCCAATATTCTTACTGCAACCCTAATAAACTGTGTTGTTTGTATATATATATATATATATATATATATATATATATATATATATATATATATATATATATATATATATGATAACCCAAATGTCAATAATAATCATATTAAAATTAACATAATTATAAATAGGTACATCTTTATTTAATACAAGTAGCTTTGTCGTAACTTATGAAATTTTTCGTACGCTATTCGCTCCGTGCATGACCATGATAGGGGTACATTGAAACGATGCCAGCGTGCGTAGCGGCGAAATATGACAAAATTGGAATATTGGACAAAATATTTTTACGCATAAGTTTTATCAAAAATGTGTGCAATTACATGTTGCGTATTTAATTGTGCTAATAATAGCAAAAACAGTGAGTGTAGTTTTTATATGTTCCCAAAGATTACATACAAATTAGAGAAAATAAAAAGATGAATTCGTGCTATTAATATAAAAAAGTAAATATCACATAATTTCATTTTTATGCAATTGAAATAGGAACAATTTAAATAATTTACCTTGAATGATATTTCATAAGGCTTCAAGCTAACTGCAGATGACTTTAGCTTTTATATCATAACTTTTACTATTATTGTTTTTATTTATATGCTCTTTTGCGTGAAAAACTTGATTTGTCAGTACTAGATTTTTCGCTTTCTTTTCCGTTTGGAGTTGAAAAGATATATTATGATGAATTTTGAGAAACTCAGTTTTTAATACTACATTTATTTTGTACATAAACTGAAAAATATAGTTAAAAAACTAATTTATTAATAATTGTCAATTTCGCATGTATTTAACAATGTCAAACATATGTCATATATTTAACCTGAAAATTGGGACTCCAAAATTGTCAGATGAAGGCAGTAGGTGTCGCATCAGTCACGCACGGAGCGAATTGGAAGACCTACAATTTCTGGATTTTGACTATAGTTAAAAATAAAACATTTAAAAATAATTATAATATTATACATTTAAAAATAATATTAATGTCACCCAAGCTAAAAAATTGAATTTTATTTATTTTAACTGTTTGCAGATATATCTTGTAGTACAATAAGTGGCGTAATTAAATTATTTATCTGAAAAATATTTTCAGTCGCCCTTATAAAATTTTTTAAAGTTTAAATGACATACAACTATTTCGTATTTTGAGAAAAAAACATGAACATCTGTTACAAATCACTTAATAAGATTTTATGTCATTCCTAAACCGTATATTACTCTCTCATGTAAGCGATAAGTTTGCGAGTGCTGAATTTCTCGATATAATATTTAAATAAAGAGAGAAAATTTGACATTTCGATTCCCCTTTAGAAGTAGTTTCTACTTAAACTTTAATAATTGCAATATTAAATATTTTTTCTGTTTCAGGCATTTATTAGAGAATATTAGGATTGCTGTTTTGGATAATTATCAAGGAGAAGAAAGCGACATTGTGCTACTATCATTGGTAAGAAGTAATAAAGACAACAAAATTGGATTTTTAAAGATAGAAAACAGAGTCTGCGTGGCTTTATCTAGAGCAAGGAATGGATTTTACATAATGGGAAATATGAAACAGTTGCGTGAAAATAGTGAGGTAAATATTCAAATTACTACTAAATTGTCATTTTAATTTAGCTGTATAATATGGTAATCACGTATCGTAATCTTATGTTTCCGGGTTCCGTAAAACCCTCATATTTGTATTTTCTTTTATTGCTGTTTTGATTTTTTAAAAAACGTGTTCAACCAGTATAAGTTCTCTTTGTGATTTATTAGCATATCTCCTCTTTAATTTCTCGTGCCCAACCCAAAGTTTCCAATGTTTTCTGAGTGTGTTCTTATGGTCAATTTAAGCTAATTACTATTAAACTGGGAATAAGCCACAATTAAAGATAAAAATACGTTTATTGACGTTTCAATTTCCACTTCGGAAATCGTTCTCAAAATACAAACAGTAAATTAAACAAATTTTGTTTTTTGTTACCTAGTGAAAAATTCTTCTAATAATTTAATTTTATCTGACTCATTTATATTGACAATTCAGACATACATTATGCATTTTAAAGTAGACGACTTTAAAATGATATTGCCAATATTGTTGAGTTGCGCTCCTGGACGACTTTACTTATAAGATAGTTCATTCGATTACATGAAATCAACTTTAACTTGAGAATATCCGTCAGAAAAAAATCATAGCATGTAATTCGTCTTTAAAAAGACAAACACATGACATGATGACAGTAAAATTCTCCTGTTAGTGATTTCATAGTAAATTATGAGGGAAAAACCAGGAAAAAAACCTCATAATACTATCCCGACATTGTAAGTATTTGTTCGTGAATTTAGTTTACCTTCAACACACATCAAAATTCTGATTTTATATGTTAAATATAATAGGGAATAATTAAATCCTTATACGATAGAGCCAAAATTTCTTGTTCTAACGAAAATTCGTTCTTGGAGGAGAAACATTTGTTAACTTCTGTTTTATTAAAAAATGATTATCCTTTATCGTTTATAAATAAGGAATTTTCAACAATCGATCGAATAGAACAGAACAACTTAGAACGAGATCCTACAGCATACGCAAGGAATAATATGAGGAAGATAACAATACCGTACATAAAGGGACTATCAGAAAAACTTAAAAGGATAGGAAATAAATTCAACATTTTAACAACATTCAAAACAACAAACACGTTGAGATCTATTTTGTCCAAAACCAAACCTAACAATGAACAAGAAAGGGCAAAGAATTGCATTTATAAAATACCTTGTGAATGCGATCAGTTTTATTTAGGTGAAACATCAAGGCCATTAAATGTTAGAATAAGTGAACATCAATCTTATATTAAAAATAGGGAATTTGATAGATCTCAAATCTGTAAACACGCATGGGATAATGAACATAGGGTTCAATGGAATAATTTAAATGTAGTCCTAAAAGAAACGGATGGTAAAAAAAAAAAATCAAAGAAGCGGCTCTAATTATGCTGAATGAGGCCAATTGTGTCGCAAATTCCTCGGCAGAATGTAGTAGGATCTGGTTACCAATACTGAAAGAGGAAGTTATTAATAAGAAAATACCAGTATTAGTAAGTCAGTAACATATAGAGGATACATCATTTATGTTTTTTAAATAACGTAACATATAAAATCAGAATTTTGATGTGTGTTGAAGGTAAACTAAATTCACGAACAAATACTTACAATGTCGGGATAGTATTATGAGGTTTTTTTCCTGGTTTTTTCCCTCATAATTTACTATGAAATCACTAACAGGAGAATTTTACTGTCATCATGTCATGTGTTTGTCTTTTTAAAGACGAATTACATGCTATGATTTTTTTCTGACGGATATTCTCAAGTTAAAGTTGATTTCATGTAATCGAATGAACTATCTTATAAGTAAAGTCGTCCCAGGAGCGCAACTCAACAATATTGGCAATATCATTTTAAAGTCGTCTACTTTAAAATGCATAATGTATGTCTGAATTGTCAATATAAATGAGTCAGATAAAATTAAATTATTAGAAGAATTTTTCACTAGGTAACAAAAAACAAAATTTGTTTAATTTACTGTTTGTATTTTGAGAACGATTTCCGAAGTGGAAATTGAAACGTCAATAAACGTATTTTTATCTTTAATTGTGGCTTATTCCCAGTTTAATAGTAATTAATTTACAATGCCACAAGAAAATAGCTTCAGAACAATGTCAATTTAAGCGTTTAAAATCGTTACTGATTTTCTTGTATTGAGTCTTGCGTACACTCATGGCTTTAGATATGTCTCCATCTCTTCATCGTCTTTATTTGCCTGACTTATGGATTCATACTCATGGACGAACTGTATATTATACATCGTGTTTAAGTTTAGTATTGCGTAGATAACTCTCTCAGAGATGACGTTGATTTCGGTTACCAAATGACTTAATCTTTTATGTATAAGAAATGCTTCTCCGCCTTGTCCGTTAGGTTGATTTGAGTTATTTTGATATAGTGTATGTCCTGATTTCAGATTTTTTTCTTTTGGTAGTCGTGTTTTACAAACTCCAATTACGTCCAGTTTTATGAGTCCAAGTTCCTTTTCTAACTTGATAAGGTGCTCTGATGTGCTCATTATTCTAATATTATATGTTGCGACATATACTCTTGTTCCGTGGTTGTATGGATGCGTGTGATAAACTTATTTACCACGAAAACAAAAATAAAATTGAATAAAACGTAAAAAAACTTTTAATAATATTTATTTTATTATATTTATTTTGTATAGGTATGTATCGCGGACCGATTAAAATTGTGTATCGTTGATTACTGAAAATTAAAACCTAACAGAGCACGCGTTCTATGTTTTTAAAAACCAGACGATAAACTTTTATTATCGGCTGGTCGTTATATTATATTTCGTTTCCCATAAATACAACGCACTCAAAATGTATAATTAAAGTGTCGAGCATATCTAATATCTGTAGTCATTTATTATGTGTATAACCAATTGCGAAAATGTAAATTTTAATATGGGATTGTTTTATTGAATTTTTGAATACAAAAGTTTAATTATTCGTAATTAGCTTGTCGCTACATTCTTGTGGTATTGTATTACTTACGTTGAATCCTTCCTCCCCAGAATTCGACACGTGACGCAGACTGACTTCAGTGTGAGATTTTGTGTGTTCAACACTACTAATCTGGGGTATTATTAAACTCATTGGTATTATCGTTAAATTCGACATTTTAGCATACATCCTATGAGAGGTTTGTGGCAAATAAAACGCTTCGCTTGCCGAGCGTGTTGGCAAATGCAGTAAAGGCTACGGTGCAGATGTGGACTTTCTTAATTCCAGTTCTTACAGTTGTTCCGCTGATACCTACTCGGTCGCCAGAACCTCGTTTGTGCTAACGGTTCACCAATATGTAGGTGAAGTTGACATTTGAGTAGGGGAGTCAATAACAATAACAAAATCAGAAGTAAGATCTGCTATAAGTCGTCTAAAAAACAACAAAGCGCCAGGACCTGATAGAATATATATGCTGAGGTATTGAAATTGATAGAATCGGCAGCCAGATGGTTGGTGGAGAGCGAGCGGTGGGTTAGAAACTAGCTTTTGGAACCGGGAATGGGTCCAACGGACGAAATAAGTAAAGGTAGAACAAGATAAGGTATATTAGAAAAGATTGCATTAGAAAAGATATTACAAAAATAAACGAAAAGATAGATGGGTAAAATTACCAAAGATACTATAGGATAGACACAGGGCGCCACTCAATTTTTTGGGGTTTAAGGAGAAAATTAAGAAACCTTAGAAAAGAAAGGAGATAAGGAAAGATATTTAGGTTCAGAGATCAAACCCAAGAAAAGATATCAACAGTTAATTATTAAATAAATTTGGTCAACACACTAAACAAATAATAAACATATTAGGTATTATATCAACTTACCTACGAAACTTAATCAGCCTGATCTTTCTACTGGTCAAAGGGATAGTAATAATTAAAGGTAGAAAGCAAATACTCATAATTATTGTGATATCAGGGAACTTGTTAGGAGCCGACAAATAAAATACATACATAAAACAATAACAATATATTCAACAACAAAACGATATCGGTAGCTGAATGTACACACACATGATAAAAATACACCAACAACTATTAAATGGTGGTATACATATAAAAATAAGCCGTAATATAATTGGAAAATACCTTTACAAAGATATATAATACAATCATGTACAAATAAAGTTTTGGCGTATCTCGAGATATTACAGCAAAAAAAATGAATAACAATTATAGCAAATAACAAAAATTAATCAAAGCTAAATTTACAAAAATACAAAAAGGTTACAGACATAAAACTTTAACCACACCGCACTGGGTTAAGTCGATTATTTGCTTCGCACTATTATTTAATGATAAACAGACTTAAATGTTCATAATTATTATTTATTGAAATTTCTTAATAGCTGGTGGAAAGTTCGTAAGAATATATAGAATGTTCTTTAAATTGAATGCAAAATTCAGTAGTTACTCTCAACTACAGTTGAAGAAATGGATGACTTTAGATTCGTCCAGATAATGGTAGATGATATGATACCATACCATTACTCGCCCAGATAATTGAAGATAATGATTACTTACAGTAAATCTTGATGACTGCTGCACTAGGTACTTCACTGAAGCTATATACTGTACTTAATACTTTACTTGTATCAAACACTGAATTTAATTAACATTGAAGGTACTTCAATTTTGTAACTTGTAACTATATTTAATCTAATATAGTATAAGATAAAAAAATCAAATAAACAAGTGTATACACAGTTAGAAATTAATTCACAGACGGTAAGATAAGAAATACGATAATGTGAGCGAAGCGTCCTTTCTCCATAACGGCCCACCTAGAAGTAAGTCTTTCTTGCAAAAATTTACCCAACTACAAAAAAAAGGAAAAAGGGATATCTCCCACTCAAAAATGATCGGACAGTTGTATATATTTCTGAGAAGGTAAAAAGCTCTAACGAACATCGAACATAACGGTACCCTTCCATCTATAAACGTGATGAAATATAAATCCTCTAGATTAGGTTTTTCCGA